AGTGTTCTCTGTGAGCAGGAAGCTGCAGAAGCTTGGAGAGGGAGGTGTTCAGTGCCCTTGCTCTGAGGGGGAGGTGGGTGGAAGCTGTGGGCAAGCTGGCTGACTATTGCTCAGGAGACATGGCTTTTGTTCAGCTCCAGCGCTGCTGCGACCTGCCCTGAGCCAGCCCATTTTTCTGTGTCTGCTGTTTTACTAGACATATGGGGAAAGGACAGGCGAGTCCTGACAGTTAAGCCCCTTGTGACGTATACATTAAGGCTCCTTGCTTAGCAGCACGGGGACGTGGGATCACAGGAGCTTCTGGGGCCCCCCCGCCCTGCCCACTGCAGTAGCTCCATCTTCTCTTCCAGAAGCTGGATGTGGAGGAGCCTGACAGCGCCAACTCATCATTCCATAGCACACAGTCAGCCCCTGCACCCCAGGCCAGCCTGCGGACCACCTCTGACACCCAGTCTCTGCCCTGCCTGAGCTCTGCCAGTGAGGGCAACTCGGCACTGCTCAGTCTGCCTGGCTACCGGCCAACCACGCGCAGCTCAGCTCGACACTCCCAGGCCAGGGTGTCCAGTGGGGCACCTTCAGGTGAGAAACCTGGGATAACCAGGAGTTACCCAGCAGGTAGATCTCACACAGGGGAGAGACGAGATGCTTGTAAAAACCCAGGGCTAGCTACCTTGCTTCTTCTAGCACCCTCTTCCTCTCTGTGGTCTTAAGGCTTCCCTGTCTTCTTGGGGCTGGAGTGTTCAGCCCGAGATGCAGACATGCTCACCAGGGGTCATCTCAGGGTAACCGCACAATGTGACAGCTCTAGGTGCTGTGGAGCATTCCATGTCCCTTCTCAGGTGACGATGGACTGACTGCTGGAAGGGCCAAGCTAGCCTTTGTGCCAACTCACCTCATAGCCCACTTGGAGGGTTTTGCTCGAGTCTCAGATCCTGGCCCCAGTTAGTTTTGGGGCTTTGGGCACCACCCTTTGGCGGGTGAATGAGGTTGAGTCACAGCCTTTCCCTAGGGTCTCTATCAGCCTCCCCAGGTAGTGTCCATATTGGTGGGTTGGGAGTGACACCCATTTGGGGGGAGGGGGAGGAGTGGTGGCAGTAGAAGCTGCCAAGAGCCCCACCTGATCAGCCTCCCTGCTTGCTGCCTCAGGAAGGAGCAGTTTCTACATGAGCAGCTGCCAGGACGAGCCTGAGCAGCTGGACGACTGGAACCGGATCGCAGAGCTGCAGCGGCGCAACCGGGTGTGCCCTCCCCATCTGAAGACCTGTTACCCCACAGAGTCTAGGGTGAGCCCTCGGTCCCCTGAGGAGGACCTCGCTGAGTATGAGTGTCCCTCTGGGCCAGAGGGGAGGGGCTGTGAGGATGGG